GCCCCAAAAAAAAAAAAAAAAAAAAAAAAAAAAAAAAAAAAAAAAAGGAGAAAAGGAAGAGATTGAATAGATTGGGAGGAAGACTGGAGGTGAAAACCTGAGTGACCTGGAGGATAGAGGCAGGTTGTGGAGTTGTTTTACTAAGGGAGGGAAGGAATAGAAGTGATAATAAAGTTTTAAAAAGAAGAGATTTGAGAGAAGCAGATATCAGTGAGACTTGAAGAGTTGAGGACGTTTTGCTACATCTCCTTACCCTCAACCCTGGCGTGCCCTGCTCCTTTAGTTACCTTGTCTTCAGAATTAGACAGTGGGTTGAAGTTGGTCATAAACGAGTCCAGTGGTATTTCAGTTACACAATTATTATCTGCCATCCGTGAACGTCCATTCCCCATATTTCAACTCTTGACTTCTGCCTCAAACTCATTCATCTAACAAATGTTTGGTTTATCTACCCGTCTGCTGAACATTCCTCCAAAGTCAGCCCTAAACTCTTCCACGTTGACTTTTTCTCACACTCTAACAATACAATTTTCCCCTCGCTTTTTTGTGCAACCCAGCTGCCCGTAACCGCTTCATTCATCGCGCAATTGAATATTGGCACCCACTTGCAGGACTGTTTTTCCTCCTCTACAATGCTCCTTAGGGTCTAGAGTGGCGTTTTACAAATCTCCTAGCTCAGTGTATTGCACGAAGTAGATGCTCAGTAAATGTTTATTGACTGAGTGCGCCGTGCATCTCAGTGACATCACATCCTGTGTGCAGTTGCGTCATTCTGCACTCCGTTGCTGGAGGCTCCGAGTCTGAGGCTTTGTCATTGTCTGTACCGTGCACCGAACGTCTTCAATGCGGGCTAAAGCTTCACGCGGCGTACACGAAATGCGGTCAGCAGGAGCGCTGGACCTCCGGCTGTGAGTACCGAGTCTCCAGGTTCTGGCGGAAACACGCTACCTGGGCGGCGCCGGCACCCAGTGACTATCTGGGAAGACAAGGTGCGAGGGAGGGAGCGGGCAGCTCACTTATCGCGGTGTTTTCTCCCTCTTCACTCCCGGGGGAGCTCTCGCGAGAGAAGCAAGGGGAAGATGGCCGTGCCCTGTTTTTCGGTGTGAGGCAGAGGCGGCGACTGCAGCGGCGGTGGCAGCGGCAGCGGCTGTGTTTGCTGGGACTGGGATCCTGCTGTCGTGGGCACTTGAGCTCTAGCTCCCCCCAGCGAGCGCGCGTCCCTCCGTGCCTAGGCGAGAGTCAGCTCTTCTTCCTCCGGGAGATGCGTTTGTCCCGGGCTCGGGGGCGCTCTGGGAGTTCATGCTGCGCTGGTGGCTCCCGGCCACCGCTCTAATCGCCTTGTGCCGCCGCAGCGCCAGCTCCGTCGCCGGCGGTGAGCCTCCCGGACCCCTCCTTTGCTCCTGGCGGCGGCGATGACCGGGGAGAAGATCCGATCACTACGGAGGGACCACAAGCCCAGCAAAGAAGAGGGGGATCTGCTAGAGCCCGGGGATGAGGAAGCGGCGGCTGCCCTCGGCGGCACCTTTACTGGAGGCAGGATTGGCACAAGTAGCAGCGGCAAGGGCGGCAAAGCCTGTCATAAGATCTTCAGTAACCATCACCACCGGCTGCAGCTGAAGGCAGCTCCGGCCTCCACCAATCTCCCTGGCGCGCTGGCCCTGCCGCTGCACAACTCCTCCGTGACTACCACCTCCCAGTCCCCGGCTCTTCTAGCCGGCACCAACCCCATTGCTGTCGTCGCAGATGGAGGCAGTTGCCCCGCACACTACCCGGTGCACGAGTGCGTCTTCAAGGGGGATGTGAGGAGACTCTCCTCTCTCATCCGCACGCACAATATCGGTCAGAAAGATAATCACGGTGAGGAGTGCTAGCCCCTCTCCACCTCTCCTTCCCCAAGCCAAGGGTGCGCCTCCCCAGGCCTCTGGAATCTTAGGCTCCTCTCCAGCAGAACCTTCTTTCCTCTCCTTTGCTCATCATCCGGGCCAGTTCCCAGTAAATCATGACCTTTCAGTAATAGCATGCCAGTGGTCAGGGAGTTGGTTCCTGTGGGTGCAAAGGAATGTTTCCTCTTTGCCCACTTCAAAGTTTTCTTGTATGAAGCTGCTTTGTGTATCCTTGAGACAGTGCTTCTTAACTGTCAGAAATTTTAGGTTGCCTCTCATCTAACCTGGCCTTCTGCTTTGTTTACGGAATTACTGATTTATATCTCTTCTTTCTCTTTCTCCCACTTTGTAAGATCTTTACTTTTGAAAATAGAAATTATCCACCTGCATTTATTACCCAGTCACAGATCACAACTTGACTGCAACAGGTGGTGATTTCTACTGACATCAGGTTGCTTATTTTTGTCTGCTTTCCTGAAACTTAGAATGCTTTGATTTCTGAAAGCCACACAGAAATTTGTTGGTGTTTGAGAGACCTAGAACACTTAAAGTGACTACTAAGTAGCTAAAAATTGTGTTTTACATGGATGACTGCTAATAATAATGTCTCATCTTGCTGTTATTAAAAATGTTACTGTGATTTTTCATAGTAACTATCATAGTATTATGAGAAATATAGTATATTTGTTATTGAAGGACTATATTTCTTTTTGCCTTGTTTTGTCAACAGATTTTTTTTTCTTTAGTTGTAAAAAATAATGTGGTTGAGTGGACTTTAAAACAACTGTGAACTTACTGTTGAAACCCAATATAAACATTATTATTTCCCACATTTGTAAGCAGGCCATTTCAAACTGGGTAGTTGGCAAATAATTTTTAATTCATATTTATTAATATTAATAGTTACTACTTGTTAATAACTCTGATTCTAATTTAACATGGCAATTATCATATACATTCAGTTAGAACACACCCAACTCTGTGATTAAATTTATATAGTGAATTAATGAAATACTTGCTTATGCAGTAAGCTCCCTTAATTCCTTGAGATTCAAGGATTCTCTAGCTAAGAAATCTAAAATTTCTTTATATGAGTAAATCAAAAATTAGGACAACTATTGAGATTTTTAAAAAAGTAAGTTTTCTATTGTTTGTATATTTCTCCAACAACTTCACTTATTTTCTAAATTTATACTATTGCAATTGTAGTAATACCCCCACCTACCATTTATTACAAATGTTAAAAGTTTACCCCCAAAAAAGTTTGTTAAAGCTACACTAAGTTTTTTCATTCCTACATTTAATTTATTTCATCATTTCACTATTGTAACAAGCATAATGTTTGTTGACAGTAATTACTTTCTAACCATTTGGAAATAGTTGTTTGAGGGAAATGGGTTTTAGCTTTAGTTTATTAGTCCATTAGTAGGAAATTTTTCAAATTTGGTCTTCACAGTAGCCATGTGTTTTATCTTGTGGCCAATGCCTTTAAAATATGGTTATGTTACCCTGAAACATCCCTGAAAACAGATAAATAATTTTTTTTTTTGAAAGTCAACTCTGTTTTAAAAGAAGAGATGATGATGTGGGACCAGCAGATGGCATAATAGTTATATCACTGGACTCCCACATATTCAACTGCGGTTCAAATCCTGGACCCTTTGGTTTAGAATTCGCCTGGGTGTGTGTATATGGCACCCAAGATCCTGAGAGGAGAACGAGGGGATTGCAGTGAGGCCATTCCCTCTGGGGGAGGTGGGGGAGTGGGTGATTTCTTGTTTGTTTTTTTTTTTCCCTCTCTTTCTCTCTCTCTCTCTCTCTCTTGTGAGTGCACTGCCCTTTAGCAAAAATCTCTGTCACAAAAAGAAGAACCAGATGATGAATACCAATTGCTATTGAATTGAAAGTTTGTTGGACTTTCATGTTCTTTAACCCTACATTTTAGGAGTATATTTATTAGTGTTCAAATTCTGTTGAGAGTAGTTAAAATCTCATATACCTTTGTTAGCCCACTGAAAATCACTTTTTAAATGACACATTTGTATTGGACTTAGCTGTTCTTATATTGTTGATATTTCTGATGAATGTTACCAGTGGTTCGAACATCTGTGGAAAATGTGATTATATTTCCTCTCCAATATACATTCTCATCTCTTATAGTGAAATCTCGTAAGAGTAGCTTCCATGTAATGTGCTGCTGTTTTAGTTCCTTTTCCCCCCTGTAGCTTCTTCATTTCTCACTATACTATTAACATTATTATTTTTATTCTTGATACTTTATTAACCTGGTCATTTTATTTAGATTCTATGGTTTGTTTTTTTCAAATTATGAAAGATAAGTGCTTTTAAAAATCACCCCCCCACACACACACACACACACAAAACAAGCTCTGTGGGATTACTGTAAGGTGATGGGTACATAGCAGAGTCACGTACTCATACATGTGCACAGCAGAGCTGTATTACATGGCACTTAATTTTATATTCAGTGTAGAGATTCCTTCCACACCATGATGATGATGATGATAGGTAGAATTTATTGTGTCAGTACTTTGCTAAATGTTTACATACTTTATCACATTTAATCCCTAAGACAGCCCTACAAAGCAGATAGTTTTAATTCTTATTTTTAAAGTAAGAAAAGAAGTTTTCATTCTTATTTTTAAAGTAAGAAAAGAAGTTTTCATTCTTATTTTTAAAGTAAAAAGTTACATACTATGTAAAACTTGGAATTGAACTGATAGCTGGGACTGCAAAGCCATGATCAGCCTCTTTGTATTTCTCTTGATCGAGAACCACTGTATTTCAAGGAAGTCAATTCCAATAATGTGTATGTGGTGGCTTATAGCAGCTTAAGTTCTATTGTATGTGTTTTCTCACAAAAGCCTTGTTGAGAAATTCTGCCATTGGACAGCATGCACAGAGTTTTTTGTAGCTCCCAGATCTCCTACTCGTTTGTTATTTCTTTTTTTATGTAATGATACAAATAAATATTTCATTGACATGATAGCCCTTTAGATAATTTGACAATAGTGATCGGATTTCCCCTTATCTTGGGGTCAAACATTCCCAACTTCTGTATCCATTCTTCATATGACATGATTTATGAAGCATTTAAAGTGGTCCCTGAAACATAGTAAATACTGTGTAAGTATGTCAACTAAGTAAATGAAAATTTTAATCATTTTCTTTCAGCAGTTTGTTGATTCTTCCCTCTGAGGACAATGTCCAGAACAAACCCTAGGGTTGGAGCTATAGTAGCCTCATTAGCAAAAACAATTAGAGGCCTATTTATTGCTCTAAAACTACACACATTTATGCAGTACAACAGTGTGTTAGGTTTTTAATATTATTTTTTCTCAGCTGATCTGCTCACTTTTTGTCCTATCTCTTGCACTTATTTTTGTTAAGTTTTGGTAGTTTTGGCTTTTTATTTTAGCTGGAGAGCTTGTTGAATTCTAAGTCTGTGGCTATTTAGTTCACTATTCTTTAGCTCTTTCAGTTTTCAGTGATTTCTGATTTGATAAACTTGTTGATGTCTGTTTGTATGTGCAAATTGTTGATTGAATAGGAGCATGGATAGAGCTTTTCCTTTGTGGTAAAATGTTGGTTGATCGGAAATTTCTTTTTGTGGGACCAGCAGTTAGCGTAATGGCTGTGTCACTGGTCTCCCATGTATTTGACTGCGGTTCAAGTCCAGGACCCGGTGGCTTAAACTTCATGCTGGGTGTGTGTTTGTGCCTGCCCAGGATCAGAGAGGAGAATGGAGGAGAAGGGATTGGGATTGGGTCGTAGCCATTTCTCCTGGGGGGTGATTTCTCGCTTTCTGTCTATCTCTTTTTCTGTCTATCTCTCTTTCTGGCAAGCGCATGTGCCCTATAGAAAAAACCTTTTAAAAAAATAAAAAGAAAAAGAAATTTCTTTCTGTAAGCTATCCTTATTTTGAGAACTATTTTGTATACTAGGCCCAAGCATATCTCTTGAAATATATTAAATACAATAATAAGTATAACATCATGCATATACTGTGTTCAAATGCAGTAAATGATTATGATTTATCACTTAATAACAGCTCTTTTAGGGTGAGGAAATGAAAAATATCTCATTAAAGGTAAAGAAAATTATTAAACTTTGTATCTTGTATCTTCAGTTAAATGCCACTTTTTTCCTTCAGTATAAAATTAAAGATTGAGTTGAAGCCTATTTTCACATTCAGAGTGTAAAGTTCTGAAACACTTTTGGCCATTGGTAGTTTGACAGTACATTGTGGTGGTGTGCTGCTTTTTTTTTATAATTGATAATAATGATTTTACTTTTTAACACCTTTAGAATTGAGAATTTTACATAAAGCACATAGAAGACTTTCTGTTTTAACTGCACTTCTATTTGCTACTATTTGCTAAACTTATAATTGTGTGTTTTCTCTTGAATTAAATTTCCTTAAGAAGTTAAAGATCTTCTCTTGGATGCTAGTCAGAAGCTTTTAGGTGCCAGAGTGATGAAAGTGCTAGATATATGAATTGCTCAAACCAGCCTTTCCTAGATGTGAAAAATTTTTCATCTCTTCTAAGAGATTTGGCAGTTTCTACTGCCTTTAATTACATTGTTTGGCATATGACTATCCATCTGCTCTCTATACAGTTAATTTTCAATTTTGCAAGTTGTAATATCTTTTTGAAGCGTTTTTACACAGTGATTATAGAGATTTCAAATTTAAGTTACAATTCAATCGAGTATTCCTGCTAATGCAGGCAACTCAGTGAAATGGCAATGAAATGGTTAACATAAAGGCAGTTTCTGATGGCTAGCAGTTTGTTCAGTCAGAGATTTTAAAATATTTTAATTTCAGATTAAAATTGTGCATTTGAGAATTGAAGAATTAGGATAATCTGTTTGGTGACTGTGTGTATGTTTATTTTGATCCATTCTGTATAAACCTTTTATCTTCCTTTTGGTATTATTTTCTTAATGGCT